CTCCTTTAGCAAGCTGTTGATTTGTTTTTCATGATTTTCTTGCATCACTCTCATTTCTCTTCCCAGTTCTTCCTCTACTTCTCTTAGTTGCTTCTCAAAATCCCTGTTAAGCTCTTCCAAGGCCTGGAACTGATTCATATTTTTCTTGGAGGATTTGGATGTAGGAGCTTTGACTTTGTTGTCCTCTTCTGGTTGTATGTTTTGATCTTCTTTGTCACCAAAGTAAGATAATATAGCCTGACTCTTTTTGTGCTGCTTGCTCATCATCCCGGCCAATTACTTGAGTTTTAAACTCTCTGTTAAGGTAAGAATCTGCTTCCAATGTGAAGAATGTACTGTCCCAAGTCTTGGGGGTTTGTACAGCTGTTTTCAGAGATACTTGTAGGGACCTGTAAATTTTCAGTTCTTCCAAGGTGGTATGATAAGGGGTGAGGTGTTTACTCTTTTCCTGGCCTGTGCTCTGGTCTATTAGTGACCACAAATAGTCCTTTCTGTCCTGGAACTATGAGGAAGGTTTCCCTTTCTATAGCCACTACAAGCTCCACCACACCAGTGCTCCTCCTCACCCCAGGATCACCACCCAGAACTGTGACCCAGATCCAAGCATGGCCAAAGTAAGAGATTCCTGCCTCAGCAGTGGCAAAGAGATCCTGCAAACTCACTCTGATGAGCCACTCAATTCCCCCTCAGTCTGTGGGCCTGAAGCTCAGGATGCAGCCTCCACCCTGGGCTATACTTGGGGAATGGAGCTGAGACCACCTTGCTCTCTCACAGCACAACAGAAATAGACTATTCCCACTTACCTACTAAGTTGTCTTTGGTGTTCATGGGTTGAGAAGTCTGGAAACAGCCACAGCTGCCCACAGTTCAGTCCTCTGAGGCCTGCTCCAGGTTCACTGTGGCCTGTGCGTCCATGCCGCACTGTTCTGCTCCCAGCCTGATGGGATACACCTTTCTGATCAACTATCCAGTTTGTCTGGGGCTGGAAATTTGCTTCACTTTGTCTTTTTGTGTGTTCTGCTGCTTTAGAATTTGTTTAGAGACATTTTTTTATAGGTATTTGGAGGGGTTTGGGGAAGAGCTCAAGGAAGTCACTGCTTTCACTCAACCATCTTGGCTTTACCCCTTCCCCTCCCCCCTCTTCACCTCCATTGTAAAAGCTTTTTCTTGCTTCTTTTATATGAGATAATTTACCCCCATTCCACCTCTCCTATTCCCTTTCTCTCAGTATATTCTTTTCTCACCCTTTAATTTATCTTTTTCTTTTTTTTTCTTTATTATTTTTTGAATATCATCCCTTCATATTCAACTCATACCTGTGCCCTCTATCTATATATACTCCTTCTATCTGCCCTAAAATAAGAAAGTTTCTATGAGTTACAAGTATCATTTTCCCATGTAGGAAACCAAACAGTTTAACCCTACTAAGTTATGACTTTTGACTTCCCTTTTCTGTTTACTTTTCTTATGCTTCTCTTCAGGCTTATATTTGAAAGTTGAATTTTCTAGTCAGCACTTGTTTTTTCAGCAAGAATGCATGAAATTCCTCCATGTCATTGAATACCCATTGTTTCCCCTGAAGGATTATACTCAGATTTTTGGGGTAGGTTATTCTTGGTTGTAATCCTAGCTTCTTTGCCCTTTGGAACATCATATTTGAAGCCCTCTGATCTTTTAATTTAGAAACTGCAACATCTTGTGTTATCATGACTGTGGCTGCATGATACTTGAATTTTTGTTTGTTTTCTGTTTTTGTTGTCGTTGTTGCTGTTGCTTTTCCTGGCTGCTTGCAATATTTTCTCCTTAATCTGGGAGCTCTGGAATTTGGATATAATATCTCTGAGAGTTTTCATTTTGGGATCTCTTTCATGAGGTGATTGGTGGATCCTTTCAATTTCTATTTTACCCTCTAGTTCTAGAATATCAGGGCAGTTTTCCTTGATAATTATTTCAAAGATGATGTCTAAACTCTTTCATTATGGCTTTCAGGTAGTCTAAAACTTTTAAATTTTCTCTCCTGGATCTATTTTCCAGGTCAGTTATTTTTCTGAGATATTTCATATACTCTTCTATTTTTTCATTCTTTTGGTTTTGTTTTACTGTTTCTTGATTTCTCATAAAGCCATTACTTTCCATTTTCTCTGTTCTAATTTTTGAGGAATCATTTTCTTCATTGATCTTTTGGATCTACTGTTGCATTTGGCCAATTCTAATTTTTAAGTTTTTTTTTTTCTTCAGTGAATTTTTGTGCCTCTTCTTCCATTTATCCAGTTCTGCTTTTTAAGACATTCTTCTCCTCATTGGCTTTTTTACCTTTTTTTTTTACCATTTAGCCTAGTCTGATTTTTAAGGTATTATTTTTTTCAGTATTTTTTGAGTCTCCTTTAGCAAGTTGTTGATTCTTGTTTTCACTACTTTCTTGCATTACCTTCATTTCTCTTTGTAATTTTTCATCTGCCTGTCTTACTTGGTTTTCAAAATCTTTTCTGAGCTTTTCTGCAGCCTGAGACCAATTCATATTTTGCTTGGAGGCTTTGGATGTAGGAGCTTTGACTTTGTTGTCTTCTGAGTGTGTTTTGATCTTCCTTGTCAACATAGTAACTTTCTATGGTCAGAATTTTCTTCTGTTGTTTGCTTATTTTTCCTGCCTATTGCTTGACTTTTAACTTTTTTAAAGTAGGGTTCTGGTTCCAAGGTGGAGGGCACACTGTGCCAAGCTTTAGGGGTTTTGTGCTGCTGTTTTCAGAGATACTTCTAGGGGCCTGTGTGTTTTCAGTTCTTCCAAGGTGCTATGATCTAAGGAGAGAGGTTTACTATTCTGTTGGTCTCTGCTCTGGTCTGTGAATGACTGCAAGTGCTTTTGTTGCCTTGGAGCCTAGAAGGGGGGATCCCTGCTCTTCTATGGCCAAAAGCTCTGGTGTGCTCCTTCTCACCCCAGGCTTGCCACCCAAAATATGTCCCAGATCCAGGAATAGGCAAAGCAACAGTCCTGCCTCAGTGCCAGCAAAGAGGCCCTTGTAAATTACTTCTGACCAGTTGTTCAACCCCCTTACTATCTGTGGGCTGAGAGCTCTAGAAGCAGACACTGCTGCTGCTGATTTGGTGGCTCCCAAGGCTTGCTTCTGGCTTGCTGTGGCCAGAGCTGTGCTGGAGCAGCCTGTGCTGGACTGTTCCACTCTTAACTCAGTTGCAACAAATCTTTCCTGCTGACCTTCTAAGTTGCCTTTGGCATTTGTGAGCTGAGATGTCTGGAAATTGCCACTGCTGTTACTGTTTCAGTTGCCCAGAGGCCTGCTCCTGGTTTGTTTGGCCGGGTCTGAGCAGATATAGTCTATTCTGCATTGTGCCCATCTCTGACCCCAGTGCAACAGACCTTTCTTGCTGACCTTTCAAACTGTCTTGGGCTGGAAAATTGTTTCTCTCTTTCTTTTTGTGGGTTCTGCTGCTCTAGAATTTGTTTAGAGTCATTATTAATGGTATTTTGGGGGAGGGGGTCATTTAGGAGAGAGCTCACGCAAGTCCCTGCCTTTGCTCTGCCATCTTGGCTCTTCTGTGGCTCTGTTTACCTAATTTGTATTTTCTTGGAGGCTTTATATACATGAATTGTGAAAGCTATCTTCTTCTGACTGTGAGTTTTGATCTTCCTTGTCACCATAGTAATTTTCTATGGTCAGGATTACTTTCTGTTGTTTTCCCAACTCTGTGCTAAAGTAGGGCTCTGTTTCCAAGGCAGAGAGCACATTGCCCCAAGGTTCGTGGGTTTTGTGCTGCTGTTTTTAGAGATACTTCTAGGGATTTGTGAGTTTTCAGTTTTTCTAAGATGGTATGATCTAAGAAGAGGTGTGTTTACCACTCTCCTTGACTGTGCTGTAGCCTATGAGTGACCACAAGCACTCTTTTCTGCCCTGGAACTGTGACAAGGGTCCCTGTTCCATGAGGGTGCAAGTTCTGATGTGTTAGTGCTTCTCCTTGCCCTGGGACTGCCACCCAGGACTGCAACCTAGATCTGAGTATGGGCAAAGCAACAGAGTCTTGCCCCCAGTGCCAGCAGAGACCCCTGTAAAATCTCTGTCTGACCAGTTATTTGACCCCCTTATGATCCATGCCTGCTCTATACTGCACTCCACTATAACCTTGGTGTAATAGAACTTTTCTGCCAAACTTTTAAGTTGTCTTGGGCTGAAAAACTGTTTCAGCCTGTGGGTTCTGCCACTGCATGATTTGTTTTAGGGCATTATTTAAAGGTCTCTGCAGGAGCTTGTGGGAGAACTCAGGCTAGTCCCTGCCTTCTCTCCATCATCTTGGCTTCGCCACACCAGGAATAGGGTTCTCAATAGGCCTACCTATTTTCATGTTCATAATATGATATTTTAAAATACACCATTTGGGAGACATGATGGGAGACCTAACAGTAGAAAAAAGAGTCAAATATCAAAAACCGGTACTTGAGTAACACAGAAGTACAAGGAATGTTCTAATGAGGACAGTGCCAAAAGGAGGAGTACCGAACTGCAGGATCAGCAGCAAAAATAACCAGAAAACAAACTCAAGATGAATAAAGAATGAATAGAAGCAACCATACATAGGTGTAGTACAGACAGTGATATAAACAAAAGGGCTTCATCTCATATTGAAAATATGCAAACTTTTCAAATTGTAGCAAACAGCACTAAAGGAATAATCATTGAATTACATTTTCAGGTGAATTAAACATTCAAATAATAAACATTCAAAATCAAAAACATGATGAATAGGAGGTGTTTTTGGCAGCACTTGCCTATATTGCGTTGTGCAACTTCACTGCAGCCTTGGTTCTGAACACAGAACATGCGCACTTTGCACCGTGCATGCTGTCATGCCACATAACACCAACAAATGCTGCCAGAAACACCTTGGCTCCAATTCGAGATTACTGAATGTCATGAATTGCAGTGTTTTTATTGTACATACAAAGTTTTCTGCTCTTACAGAAACATAATAGTTTAATTACAGAAAATGAAGACTTTTAATATTTTCCTACCATCATTCTTCAGCATGTAAGTATCAAATTAGTATACCTTTGGATTGTATTGTGTTAGAATGTTTGATTTAAAAAAAATGCTGCTGTCTCCTTTTACAGAAACATAAATATTTAATTGTAGCAAATAAAGACAAAAGCCTTTTCATAATATTTCTCCACCATCACTGCTATATGTGTGTGCAAGTATGAACACCATTTTTTTAAATTAAGCACAAAAATATAAATTCATACACTAAAGTTAGTATAAGTTTGAGAAATTATTAGCAATATTTATTTATATTTTAGGACAAAAATATATTTTGGTTATGGATAAGTGGCTAAATTTAGACAGAAGAGGTAAAAATATTGATGACAATGTGACAAAGTCTTTGCTACCAGGTTGTAGTACAAATTGACAAGAAAAAGAAAATATGTCAAATCATTTTTGCAATAAGAATTCACTTCCAATACTAATGAGGGTATGGAAAAACCTCTTTGCTTAATTTGTAATGAAGTTTTGGCTGCAGAGAGCATGAAACCAGCAAAACTAAAATGACAAGTTAATACTACTCATACTGGATACTTCAGTAAATCAAAGGAATATTTTTGAATGACTTTTAAAATCTTCAAATAAAGAAACACAATGTTTTGAGAAATTTATTACTGTAAATGAAAAGTATTTACTTGCATCTTACAAAACTTCTTATTTAATGTCAAAAACTAAAAATCCCTACACGATAGAAGAAGATTTTGTGTTAATTGATGCTATTAAATGTCAGAAATGGTTCATGGGAAAAAGCATGGGGATGAAATTTGTAAAATTCCTTTATTGAATGATACTGTTTTCAAAAGAATTTCTGAAATTAGTAATGACCAATTCCAACAGCTTATTACCAAGCTTAAGGGCAGCCCAAAGTTTGCAAATCATTTCGATGAAACAACTGATATTCCCAATATGGCACAGTTATTACTTTATGTAAGATAAGTTTATGAAGGAAGCATACCTGAAGAATAAGTGTTTTATCACCCTTTGGAAGGGCACACAAGAGGGGAATAGATAGATAGACCTTGAAGTCCATAAATTTTTCATAAATGAAGGTTTACAGTAGAAAAATTGCATTGGAACCTGTGCAGATGGTGCCAGAGCAAGGATGTGGAAGAATGTTGGGTTTGTAGCAAAAGGTAAAGTAAAGGCATTAGTAGCTTCCAAATAAATAAAATAAAAAGTAAAAATGAAATAAAAAAATAAAAAAACCCACCAAAGTTAGATGTGCTTTGCAATACTATCAAAATCATTAACTTCATTAAAAGCCATTCCCTTAATAGTCATGTATTTTCAAACCTTTACAAGGACATGGACACTGATTACAAAAGCTACATGCAGAGGTAAGGTGGCTCTCAAGAGGGTGAGGTTTAAACAGATTATTGAAATTGAAAAGTGAAGTTACGTTTTTGACTGAGCAGAAATCTGATTTTCTTAATTTTTTTCATAATGACTTAGGGCTTTCAAAACTGTGTTATTTATTGGATATTAAAAAAAAAAACCTCAATGATAGGGACAGCTAGGTGATATAGTGGATAAAGCTCTGGCCTTGGATTCAGGAGGATCTGAGTTCAAATCCACTAGCTGTGTGACACTGGGCAAGCCACTTAACCCTGATTGCCTCACCAAAAAGGAAAAAACAAAACAAAACACCTCAATGACTTAAATATGTTTCAAGGAAAGAACTGTAACATTTATATAAAAAGATAAAATTGAAAGTTTTACTAAAAAAGTTAACAAACAGAAGAATAGGTTAGAAAATGGTTCTTTAGAAATGTTTACAGCTACAGATGATTTCATGATTGAAAATACCTTTCCAAATATTTAATTGTAAGAGTTATAATTAATCATCTGAAATGCCTGGAGATACAGTTTCAGAAATACTTTTCTTCAAATATTGATTCTAAAAAAACTAACTTGGGTTCATAAACCATAATCAATTGACATAAAAACAAACAAACAAACATCAGTCATTGGCCATTAAAAGTTCAAGAACAATTTGTGGAATTATCAAGCAACACAGGTTTAAAACTTGAATTTCAAAGAAAAAAAAAACAGTTTCATGAATTTTGCATTAGGATTAAGACGGAATTTCCAACAATTTCTAGAATGGCCATAAACATTCTTCTGCTATTTTGTAATACATATTTATGCAAAGCAGCATTCTCAGCATTGATGATTACAAAATCAAAATATCAACCAACTATAAAAATGTTGAAAATGCCCAGTGTCCTGCAGTATCAAATATTCTGCCAAGATTTGATTCTTTATGTAAAAATAAATAAGCATATCCATCTCATTAGTATGCAAATTTGTTTCATCTTTAATAAATGATAAAACTATATGTACACCAAATAATTATTTTAAAATAAATTCTTTTATAATTTATGAACAGCAAATGTTTGATTTGGATACCTATTTTATATACCTATTCACCTGGGGTTGAGTAAAAATTTCTCAGGTGAAAAGGGGATGCAAATGGAAAAAGTTTAAGAAGCCCTACTTTAACATCTCAAGTCCTGTTTGCTAATGAAGACTTTCTCATGCCACAAATTGTTAGTATCTTTCCTTCAAAATTGCCTTGTTTTTATGCACTGTGCTTGTTTGTATTTTCCGTTTGAACTTATACTTTATTTTCTTATCTAAATATTTGTTTTCTTCTCAATTAGAATTTAGACTCCTAATGAGTAGTGATTGTTTCATAGTTTTGGACTGGTATTCCCAGTGACTACCACGGAACTTAGCATTAGGTACTTAATAAATGCTTGTTGATTGTTTGCCTATTAATTACAAAATAGAAAAAATATGTTTAAGTATTTTTCTAAAATGCATATTCTGATGGACTTTCAGATTTGACTTTCATTCAGTTGCATGTTATAGTCTAGGCAATTTGTTTTTGTTTGTTTGCTTGTTTATTTCTTAAACTTTTTGTTTTTCAAGTTTTAAGCAAGAGGCCAATGTCTTTCTTTACCCTGTGGATTTCTCAGAGGAGTTTTTATACTCTTCCAGGACCTTCATGCATTTAATATGAATACAAATGCAAATAAGAACATTTTGAAATACTTTTTTGTGGATAGACAATGCTGTCATAAAGTATGGGTTATTTCAAGCATAGCATCTTCTCTTATCCTTTCAAAAACTCATAGTGAACACGTTTTCCTCTTCAACACCTCAATTTTGGGACTCATGGAGTAGGAGAATCACAGAACCACAGAATTTCAGACCTGGCAGGGAAGCCATTGCCTATTTAGTTCAGTTAAAATTCGCCACTCCACTCTCCCTCACCCCCTACTCCTGTGTTAAAAAAAAAAATCTTACTATAAAGTCCCTGATGACTGGTGATCCCATGTTTGCTTGAAGATTTCCAACATTAAGTAGTATACAACCTGAAAAATCAGCCCCTTACTTACTTTTGGATAGCTCAAATTGTCTAGAACTTTTTCCCCCCTCCTATCAAGTCTAAATTTGTCTTTTTATAACATTCATCCATTGCTTCTATTCTGTCTTCTTATGGAAAGCAGAATAAGTTTACTACCTTATACACACAAGACATTTCAAGGATGTGAGAGCACCTATTGTGTCCCTTTTAGTCTTTTCTTCTCCAGGCAAAATATTGCCAGTTCTTTCAACTTATATGCATATGACATGCACTTGAAAACTTCTGATTGCACTCCTCCCAATGTTATTGATCTTTTCAAAGTACTTCCTAAAGTCATAGATTTAGAATTGGAAAATGAACTTTGAACTTATCTAATAAAAACCCAGAAAAACACACAATACTACAGTAGTAGTATTACCAGGGCAGAGTACAAATTGTGACCTTCTTGTTTCTGAAACCTATAACTTTCTTAATGCAGAAAAAAATTTCCTTAGCTTATTGGTAAATATATAACACAGATGACTCATATTAAATTTGAAATGTAGTAAAATCCTGATATTTTTCAGACAAGCAGGATGATAATTCTTTCTCCAAGTTGTACTGGTCAAGTTGATTTCAATCTAAATATAAGACTTTATATAACATGAGATATTATTTTATTCAGCACAGTTTGATGATTATGATGATGATAACCAGTATTTATATAGTACCTATTATGTGCTAGGTAGGGGAGCAGCTAGGTGGTGCAGTGAATAGAGCCCTAAGCCTGGAGTCAGAATGATCAGGGTTGAAATTTGACCTTAGAAACTTACTGTGTGACCTTGAACAAGTCACTTAAACTCTGCCTGCATAAAACTGGAGAAGGAAATGACAAACCATTCTGGCATCTTTGTCAAGAAAACTCCTGTATGGTATTAAAATGCTAAAAAGACATGGCATTGGAAGTTGATCCCCTTAGGTTGAAAGGCTCTGGTGTGCTACGGTCCACAGATTTGGACTTTACTGAATTACAACATGCTCTTGGCATTGTGCTGAGCACTTTACATATTTAATCTTTTGAATCCTGACTTTTATTCAGTACATTAACTATTTCTCTTCACTTTCTCTCACTTATAAATTAAGGATATTACCTATGCCTTTAGTAAGTCATTGATTATATCAATAAATCAATCAATGGATGGATAGATGAATAAATGGATTGATAATTGGAAGGATATTCTGTTGCATAGGGCCAAGAAAAGATTCCTAGGGTCTTCCACTACAGATCTCTTTTCAATTCAATTTAGAACCAGAACTTCTTCCTGTTAAAGAGAATCAGATCCCTAATAGAATTCCTGTTTTTCAGGCACTCCATTGAAAAAAAAAAAGACATAATCTTTAAAGAAAATAATGTACCAGAGTGTCATCTGTCATCTTCGCAAACAATAGCCTCCATAATATCAAATTCACCTTCATGCGGTAGAAATTTAATTTTATTATTCAGCAAATCATTTATATCTTTGTAGTTCTATCTGTCATGGATATTTTTATGATTTTGATACATCATGAGAGACACCTTGCCTAAGGGAAGACTTCAAAGGAGAATTTTGCAATGATAGGAATGTCTTCTTCAAAT